ATATTAATATATTTATTATATTAGATATAACAACATAATTAAAATATAATTAATAATATATATTTTATAAAATTATTAATATTTTATATATAAAAAAATGAAAAAAAAAATTAGTGGGCAAGTGCCCCCACTATGATTAATTTATATCCATCCTGCATGTGGTTGTGTGGTGAAATGTTAGTCCTGTGTATCCTCTTCCTTTATTTCAGGTTCTACCTCTTCAAGAACATGTTGTTGTTGTTAGGGTACATCGTTAATGACTTCAAGGAAAAATACCATGTCATTTCATCCTTTACTGTATAGTGTCAATTTGGTAGTAAGTGGTTCACTCCAGTTTGACTAACAATGAAAAAAAATTTGTTATCATTGTCTTTAGTGATAACTGCATTGTCCTTAATGATATACTGAAGCCCAACTGTTTAGCAATTGAAGTTATCAATTTCCATTGACAAACTAAATTCAGTGTTTGAAATGCTTTGTACTTTGGGTCTTTTTCCTTCCACGATTCACAACCGTGAACTATAATCATTGACAGTTTGTGTTTAACAGTCTGGAACCAGAACGGCCCGTTCTGGTTGCACTTTTAGTGTGTTAATTTTGCACCTGGAATGCAAAAAGATAACAATTTTGCCTCCAAGAAATTCCCTGTACCTCTATCTCCAATCCTGCACACAAGCCTTGCGCCTTCACACTATGACCATCCCCGACCTTCACCCAATATGGCTCTGTTTTCTTTGCCGTCAACCCCAATCTCGTTACCACCGAATCAGCAATGAAGTTGTGCGAAGCCCCACAATCCACCAAAACCAGAACTGAATTATCACCTATCTTTCCCCAGCATTTGAACGAATGTTTAGAAGTCATTCCCACCATACTCCGAAAATCTAATGTCGTGGAGGACGGCTTACCCCCCCATTGTATCTCCTCTTCTTCATCTTCCTCGGTCTCTCCCTCCTCCAATAACATTATTCGAATTTGCTTGTTTTTGCACACATGTCCCGGTGAAAACTTCTCCTCACATCTGAAACAGACCCCCCTTCGCCGCCTTTCTTGGTACTCCGCATCAGTCATCCTCCGCCAGTTTGTCTTACCATCCCCCTTTTGACTATCTTCCCCTTTTGTCTCCCTAGGTTCATCATGTTTCTTCTTCTCTTCGTCCCTTCGGCTGCCATAGAGGTTCTTGTTCCATCCCCCTCTATTCATGGTGGACGACGATCCCCCCACCTCCTTCCTTAAGATCGAATTTCGAGATTCTATCAATAACGCCAAATCCATAATTTCTTCCAATGAATTGAGTCGATGCAACCTCAATTCCGCCTTAACCTCCTCCTTGAGACCATTCAAGAAAATGCCCTTCAAATAATTGGTATCCCCAATCTGGAGAGGCCCAGAATTTGCCTCAAACTGCTCCCTGTAATCCGCCACACTCCCTACTTGCTTAAGGCCCAACAACATTTCGTATGGGTTTTGTACCACCTCGGGCTGAAATCGTTTCAACAATGCCCCTTTGAACCCTGCCCAGGAAGTATTTTGATTTCTGCCTTCCCATCATTGAAACCACGCCACTGCCTTCCCTTGCAACGCTACCATAGCCACCTCCACCTTCTCGTCCTCCCATACCCCCTTCAACCTGAAATACCTTTCCATCTTTCCAACCCATCCTAACACGTCATCCCCTTGGAACAGCGGAAGTTCCAGGTTTCGCCACTTCCACCCATTCTTTTCCGTTCTTGGATCCCCATACTCTTCGTCCCCTTCACGGCCGTTACTTCCCACCGTCCCCATAGTCGCTCGCATTTCCTTCATTTGCTCCAGCATCTCGCGCATCGCCCCCTCAATGTTACGCCGCCATTCAGTTTCCTCCGCCGCACGTTTCAGTATGTCCTGCAAACCCTTTTCCACCTGCTCCAACCGGAACTCCATTTTCTTTTCCATCCTTGACCCCTCAGGTTCGTAGCAGCTTTGATACCAGTTGATAGACTCTACTTGTATTGAAAGAGAAAATTGAAGGAATGAACAGAGCAAAAAAATTATCTGCAAGTATATTGTTGGTCCCCTTCCTTTACCACACTATCATCCAATCAATTCAGTACACTAGGCAAATTCGAGAATGCCCGCTCTCCCAAATTACAATATTATTCCACACCTCCTCTCCCCTTACGTTCTCCTATTTATACAATATCCCCGTCCCTACAGCCTGTTATCAGTTAGTTATTAAAAATAACTAACTGCCTCCCTTTCCCCTCCTCACATATACCCGTTTAACCACGGGTCTCCTATCACATATCTATGAGGAATGTTAACATCACTCTCTCTATTGTCTGCCAGGATTTGTTAGAAATCACAAATTTTTGGTATGTTCAAACTCTAAATAAGGAGAGACCAAAAAATTAGTGATTTTTAATAAATTTAAATTAACAATTGAGAGTGCTACTAGCATTCTTGGAGACACAATTAATACACAATCATATTAACACCTTGTTTTATTTTTTTAATAAAATCCCTTCCCATAAAGGCCTTGTTTCCTCTCTCCTGTTGCTTTAAACAGCAAAACAGAGGTGGGAAGTGTAAAAGACAACGTTATCAAAAAGAAGATAGAAACACACACACACAAGCTTGATGAAGATTGAAAGTGTGAGAAAATTACGGCCATAAAGGATGTGTCCACACCATCAACCTGCAGCTCGTGTAATATATCCCTGCCTTGAGTGTCATCTGCAACCTTAAGAAAGTGAAACAACATAAACACAAAGATGGTGAAAAAAGACATGCAAACAATGCTTGAGTGTGTGTATGTGATAGATAAAAACCTTGGAGATGAGTCTTGGTTTGAGGCCTAAGCGAGAGGCACAAGTTAAGGCATTGCCTGCATTGCCACCTCCTTGCACCTAAACAAACAAAACAATGCAAATTTTCAACAAAGTCCAAAGAAAGAATGTTTAATTGCACTTCTTGCCATCCATTGTTCAAAATTTCACAAATTTTGCGACCTAACTCTTGAACTTGCACATTTTACCACTGGACTCAAAATATCACACATTTTACCACGTGTTAGTTGACTTGCTAAGATTTTTAGTTAACTTCTAACGTGGTATATTGGCTACTGACACTGAATAGCATATTGACTAGTGATGTGGGTTGTTGGTGTTGTACATGTATGATGACATGTCATAAGGTGTCATGATGGCAGTTAATGTGACATGTCATCGGTAAACATATCACGTTGATAATTAATACATCACATCAACAATTAACTACCGGCAGACTATTAACCCAATGACAAAATATGCAAATTTGGAAGTTGGGTGAAAAAATGTACAATTTTAGAAGGGACAAAATTTAGCTTCACTTCCTTGGGTGTGGTTCATGTTATTCCCGCATTATAATTGAAGTTTTATCTCAATAATATACTAATATACATTTGCATTTAATGAAAGTGTCATTAATATACATTTAGGCATATCACCAAGGTAAAACTCCGATTAGAGAACAACATTAATCACACCAAGCGACAAAATTTTATAAATAGGTGACAAAATTTGCAATTAAGAAAAAAAAAAATCATTATCATGTGATGATAGATAGGTGAAAAGACCTTGAAGGAAGTGCTTCTGATTTTGTCATCTGGGTTGGGAAAAGCAGCAACAGTAGCCAAGAAATCCACAGACACTGCCCCACACCCCACCTGCATACACACAATAACAAACTAAGAGTCCATTTTTAAGCTTCAAAAATGGAAAGGGTAGTCCTTAGAACAGAGAGGACGCACAATAACGGTGTTTTCACAGTCACGGGACATGGTTTTGTGTAGTATTAGTTGGTTGAGACTCTAACTAAACAAACCCAGAAAGCTAGATTGATCGATGTCAACTTCACTTAGTTTAAAAAAAATGCCCATCATTATTAGTATTACCACGTACTTTTAATTATAATAAAAACAAAATTTTGTACCTACTAATCCTAACGCATTGGTCAAGATGAAAAAAAGTGATTTCTTTTTACAAATTATTATTGATGTATCCCGTCGTGTTTTATTTATGAACTCCAATTAAAATTATCAATTACTAAGTCTTTAATTAATGTTATTAGAACATTAATTAATTAGCAAGATCCAAAGAACAAACATATAGTAAAACTTCTATAAATTAATAATTATACGATGTAAAATTTTATTAATTTTGAAATATATTTATTAATTGAAGAAATTTTTATAAACATCAATTATCAATTAATTAATTAACGATGATTAATTTATTCTTTATAAAAATATATATACTTTAATTATAAAAAATACTTTAATATATACTATTAATAAATATAATGTCTTTTAGTGCACACTTTTTTTTATACTATTTTGTTTCTATAACTTTCAAAAACACTTCCTTTTCCGTAATCTTTTTATATAATTTTTAAGCTAAATTATATTTTTAATTAATCTTTCTATTTTCATCGATTCACAATTTTGGTCCCTTTATTTTAAAATAGAGACATTTAGTCCTTCTAATTTTAAAAATACAAAATTTTGATTCACATATTAAATTGATATTTACTAATTATTAAATTTTAATATTTACTTATACTTAAATAATGTGAAATTTAGTGTATGATATTTAGAAATAAAAAAAATGTAAATAAGTTTTTTTATTAATAGATAGATTAAACGCTTCTATTTTAAAATAGAATAATTAAAATTATAGATTCACAAAAATAGAAAAACCAAAACTATAATTTAACTTAATTTTTATCATCTTTCTTCTTTACTTCTTGTTAAATTTGTTCTTCAAATTTCACTAAAATCTCTAATTTACTATTTGAAATAGCTCACATTCTCCAATTCTTAATCACTCACTCCTATTCAACTTTAATTATTTTTATCATTTATTTTATTTTTGCTTCTTTAACAAAATACACATTTTTATTCTTATTTAAGAAAAAAGATAACAGAGACATGAAAACCTATTTTATTTTATGCTAGTATTTGTATAAGAGTTAATCACCTATACATTATCAATGTAAAAAAAAATTCACTAGCAACCAATCATATCTTTTAATAGTGTTATGTTAGTTGCTTATTTAATAAAATAAAATAATTTAAAAAATATGATTGGTTATCGGTGTAAGAATATGCATGATTAACTCTTTGTATAAATCATTTTTTTTATCCTCTGAAAATCAATCCTGGGCGGTCCCCATCTGGACTGCTCAAGGTCAGGGCCACCAATAGAGAGGAGTTACATAAAAGCTAATTTGGAGCTGTGATGTAACAGACTAAGAGGAGTGAAGAAAAAACTGATTTGGATATTAAGATAATAAAATTAAACCAGAAGACAAAATAAACTGAGAATGCTAAACAAAAATAAAACGACGGTTCCTCTATGAGCAGAGACAAAATAGAACTAATAATAAGTTAATATCCCAAGTTAGATTCTACTATTGAAATGAAAACTAGTATGTGTTCTTAAATATTACAAAAGTAAAAAATAAATAATAATAATAATAATAAAAACACTAAAACAGAGTTAAGAATCCATATTAAATTCTTGCATTAAATATGCTTTTACTACAAATTGAATAAGCAAAGAAGGGAAAGACCCTTAAATAGTAACTACACGCTAATCTATCATATTTTTCGTACCTATTGACTTTGATCTGTAAGTGTAGCCTACTAGCCTGTAGGATACTGCCATCTCAAATTGACAATAGAAAGTAAATCCAAGCTCTCGTGACTGAAACTGAATCTGCACTTCCCTCTCTTCCCGACTTCTAAGTGATATCCGTCGTATAAAATGAAGCTAATATATTAATCTTACAAGGTATAAGGTTGAGTAAATAAGGAAACGCACGGCTATGACAACTATTAAATTACAATTTTTCCCATTATACACCTGCTTACACTAGATTTGCAAATACCGCTACTAAGTAAAAATACAGTAGAGGAATTGTGAAAGGGAGCTTATTTTGGCTACATGGCACGTTCTTTTTGATAGACATGGAAATGGAATGAGGCCACGAGATACAATTCAAGGCATTTACAACACTGTTCAAGTTACACTTCCTCCTTGTATAATGAATCAATATTTCAAAATTTGTCAACGTCCTGTATCTCTTCAACCATAACATAAAAACTGCAGAAATTTCAGATGCCTAAGCTAAATCAGTCACTCAATCATTAGTTCTGATCCCTTTAGAAACTGTACATTTCAAAAACACTAGGAAAAAAACCCAAGCCTTAAACCCAGAAACCATCATTCCAATTGCGCTTGGAAGAAGGTCCTCCATGCTCACTCCGACTTCCTGTAAATCTATGTAAGGACAGCTTGCTTCGGACTGTTCTCAAGGGACCTGATCTATTCCCATGTTTAATTGGTAAAGACATTTCATCTCCAATCAAGCTTGAAGTTGAAAACGGTCTGTTATCCATTTCTTCAAGTGGACCAGAACTGTATTCCATAGTGATGAAGGAAGATGCTTGTCCATAAGTTAATCGAGGGGTTACTCCTCCCGCATTCCACCAACTGCTATCAGAAGGGGCAAGGTCACCTCTAAAATCAGATTCCCGAGCAGAGGAATCCTTCTGACTACAACAATCTCCACAAGTTTCATCTGTGTCATTGTATATCAACTTAAGTGCCTGCACAACTTCACCCATAAAAGGTCTCTGGGTAACCTCCGGGTGAACACACATTGAGGCAATAGCCGCAACCTTTGCCATGTCATCAAAGTTGTAACTTCCGGCCAAAGATGGATCCACCAGCTGTTCTAGACCTTCCCTACTCGTCAATAGTGGTCGTGCCCAAGTTACAAGATTCTCCTGTCCCTGAGGTTGAGACATATCCACTGGCTTTCTGCCTGTGAGAAGTTCAAGCAGCACAACACCATAACTATAAACATCACTTTTGACGAGCAAATGCCCTGTCATTGCATATTCTGGAGCAACATACCTGCAAAATTGAATATCAAATTAAAGACTGGAATTTGTAATGCATGAAAAACAGAATGCACCCTCCCAACATTTATTAGATGTATGAATTACAGTTCATAAAGCTAAATTATTTAGTAGAGAATCTCAAAATGGTCACCAATCAGAATGTACAGAATTTGTGTTTTAACCAATAGAATCTTTCAAAGATTAACTAAATATATATGCAAGTTAAATGAAGAAAGTCAATAATTGAAAAACTGTCCAAAGCTTTAAAATAGTATATATTGAAAGTCATTGAAGAACTACAGGACTTGTGTTTGACCATTAGAATCTTTCACAGTTTAACCTAATATATGCACGTTAAATGAAAAAAGTCAAGAATTGAAATAATGTCCAAAACTTCAAAAATATTATATATTGCAAGTTATTGAAAAACTTTACAATTTGGCTCTCGAAATGTTTAAGACTACTTATTCAAAATACTGCAGATGAAGTCAGTTTTTACACTTACCCAAAAGTTCCCATCACCCGTGTTGAAATATGATTACTTCCTTCAGTTGCTTCTCTTGCCAAGCCAAAATCAGAAACTTTGGGAGTAAAGTCATCTTCTAGTAACACATTGCTAGCTTTAAAGTCTCGATGAATTACTCGGGGATTGGAATCCTCGTGAAGATATGCTAATCCTCTCGCAGCTCCTAGGGCAATTTTCATCCGTGCTTCCCAATCCAGCATTCCCTTAATTTTGTCATCACCTGCAAGATCATCAGCAAGCATTTAAATGATTTAACAGGTAGCAAAGACACAGAAGGTGTACATGGGCTGCGTGTCTTGAGCTGGTGAAAATATGTTACCATGTAAATGGGACTCAACACTGCCATTGCGAACAAGCTCATATACCAAGCAACGCCTGCGCCCTTCAATGCATATACCAATCAGTTTCACTAGATTACGGTGATGCAAACGGCTTAGCATCTCAACCTCTGCAATAAACTCACGGTCTCCATTTTGATTATCCCTTGTTAGCAGCTTAACTGCAACTTCAGCTCCATCTTCCAATGTCCCACTATAAACACGTCCAAATCCTCCTTCACCTAGTACTCTCTTTGAATTAAACTTATCTGTTGCTTTCTCAAGCTCAGAAAGTGAAAATGTTTTAGCAGAGAGAATGGAAGTAGCCATTGTGGACATAAGTGACACTGATGTTGAACTTGCAATACTGCTTGACAACATAGACCCCAAGCCTGCAAGTGCAAGCATCCAGACATTTACTTCAACTATTACATAAATAACAGAATAAAGATACGCAAGAAAACAATAAAATTACTAAAACTTACAGAAGGACAAGTAAATCCTAGATTTCAACCTCATAAATACAAGTTCACATACTATAGAAAAAGGTATTTGTAAACATAAAATAAAAACGTTTCCATTGCTATGCTACTATATTTGAACTGCAGGTGTATATAAATCACTAACCACCAAAGGCAGAAGACATCTCATTAATAGTATTGGTCCTGTATGTGACAATAATAGAATGTATATGGTAGTAGAACAAGTCTAATTTATAGCTGTCCATTTTTCATATAAGAAATTAAAATATGAAAAAATTAACACGTGTAAGTCAAGGAAACCTAATTGAAATGTGGTACAGAAATAACAAATAAATAACAAAAGTAGGAAAAACTCTGAAGTAAAACAGATCAACACACTGCAAACTCGTAAAATAGAGCTTAATAAATATAATTGTATGCACATAACAAGAATAGCATAGAAACTAAAAGAAAGAAACTATAAAAGGAATCACAGTCAACAGGAAAATTTATTTTAGGCAATCACCATGGTTGAGTAGACAATAGATGATTAGTAATCAAACAAAAAATTCTTCCAAATTAAACATCATAAAATAATTTTAAAATTTTCAAAAGAAATTCAAAAGTATACCAGATCTCTTGTTTAGGGATGATGTGAATGCAGGGCCAACAGCACTTGATGGTCTCCTAGTCTTCCTCCATTTCAAAATAATTGAAAATGCTCCCACCAAAACCAGCAAGAGTACAAAGGAAGATAAACCAATGATGATTATGGTCCTTAGACTCATTTTCTGGTTCTTGCTGACAAAATTGGCACTGACTGGCAGAATACCATCAACACTTTGACTGGGACCGCTCCCAGTTAAGGATCCATATGGTGGCGATGATGGCATTCC